AAATCATGTACAAATTACAAGTGGTTAAGGCACGATTAGATCATGTGAGGTGAGCTCACCTTGACTTAACTGGATAGACTCAGGCTACAGAAGGAGGGTACACTAGCTGTTTGGGGGTGATCTGCAATACACTGATAGTATCACCACTGCTCTACCTCTCACCATGCTGTGCTGAGCCCAATCAGCAAGAAACTCTCCAAGGTCCACCTCCCCAGTTGTTAAGAGCTAGTAAGTGGAAAGGGTCTTCAATGCTCCTTGAAGAAAAGAAGGAGGGAATTCACATTGCAGAGATCCAGAGAAGTGCATGAATCCCCATCAATGCCAGAAAAGTCTTTTACTAGAGACAATGCAATGGGTGGACACTAAACCTTATATTTAAAAGCCAGCAAGCACAAGCCCATAAAACAGGCAGTCACTTCCTGGTGATGGCTTTATACATGACAATCCATGTAATGGCACAGTCTGAATTGGGCAATTGAGTAATTTTGTATACCACAAGTATACCTTTACTGGTCTTGTTGAACACCCCATCTTGATAGTGAGCACTGGTAGGGCCAGGGCGGATGAGTTCAGGGCTTTCATTTACCCGTGGCCTTATACAGAATCTGGGAAATAAGCATATTGGAGAGGTAACACCAGCCACCTGGCAGGATCCTCTTAGACAAAGAGAAAGAGAGAAAAAGAAACATACTTAAGGAAAGTGGGTCAACTGAAGAATGGTGACTGGTGTGGGGTCAAACTCCTGCAGGAGATGAAATAGCTCAGTGATTCAATATAATGATGAATATAATAAGAGATGAACTTGTGTGGATTTGGTCACATGCCTGCCTGGAGTATATCATTCAAAGGCCAGTAAAAATGAGAAGCAAGAGAGTGAAGCAGGAGATGAAAAAGATACAACAAAATGTGAAAGAGCCTGTGATCATCCACATTCAGAAAAGAATACACCAATTGTAAGAGCTGCCAGATGCAACTGGTAAGGTTAAAAGGCAAGAGGTCCATGGATGAAGAGGGGTCCTAGGATAGAAACAGACAATGGTGGAAACTTCAGAGGAAGAAGTTCATGCCAAGCAACACCAAACAGTCCAGATGAGAATGAGCATAGAGGTGAAACAGAGAGGAGGAAGAGAGTTAGGAGAAAATGGTCACCCTCCCAAGAAGCTGAAGGTAGAGGAAGAAAAAATGATCCAGGTAGGGAAGTAAAAAGGTACAGTGGAATAGCGTATGAGAAGCATCAATAGCATAGATATCCAAACAACAACAATCATTGGGGAAAAGAAAATAAGTCATAAAAAAGCAGTAGAAAGAGCAAGAAGTCAGCAGTTTGAACAGGAATATGAAAGCATGTAACATCACATCAATATTCCAGTTAGGCATGGGATTTGGGTGAGGGGGTTGGTGAAGAAGGAAGGATCAGAACATTGAAGAGAACAGAGGAAGAAAACACCCTGTGGTAAATGGAAAGGCAAAACGTATTGGATATGACTACCTGATAACCAGCAATGGTAGAGAACAACAAATCATGGTCAAACAACCAAGTGATAAGGCAAAAAGGTGGGTCATAGTCAAATAACTGGGAGGAAGAGAGTGGCAGATAAAACAATGGCAAAAAAATTCCATTTACATTGATGGACAAACAATGGGATAAAAAAAGGCTACACAATCTGAGAGTCCAGCCCTAAGGATGATGGACAGGACAAATCCCACATGTAGAGAAGAAAAGATGATACACCTGGAAAAAAAGGGTACATGTGAGATGGAAGCAAAAGAGAGGTGGCACTGGGTAGAAGAAGGTGAGGTCTGGATGCCAATTAAAGAAGTAAAGGAAACCACAGCTGAGCAAACCAAAAGTTGCCATCAGATGAGCCCAAGAAAAAGTGTTACATATCAAGAAGAGGAGGCTAGACAAACAGCAAAAGTTAAGACCAGTCGTGACTGAGAAGATCAACAGCTAGAGTCAAAGGATGAGGAACAGAGGACCAGAAAAGAGGAGTATTGGAGTTGAAAAGAGAGACAAGGGCATCTATGAAAGACATGTCAAACAGAGAGCAAAACCAGCAAAAAACTAAAGGGTGTGCACGTGGAAAAACCACACTGTAGACAGAATACAGTTCAGCCAAGAAAAGCAATCTGCTATCAGGTTCAAAGCTCCCAGTACAGGACAAATGACAAGACAAACTCAATGGGAAAGAAACCAGAAGAGGAGGTCCAATGCCTGATAGCAAAGTCCTGGAGCATGTGCCACCTCGACTGGTAATATATGAAATGACCAAGGAAATGTCAAAGTGGATCATAACCAAGATATGAAGGTCTGGTCATGGATGATAATAGAATGCCAATATGATATTGGCATGGTCTAGCCACCAAAAAAATCCTCAGGGAAAGGAGGAGGGAGGTTCGCAATTGAGGACAATTATCCCAAGAAAGATTTCACTGATCTTGCAAACATTTATGTGTGCATACATTAAAGGACTGAGTGGTCTCAGGAAAGCCAGAGTCCCCAAAAGCAATAGAACCTCACATGCAGGACGAAATTGAGAAGTGACACCCAGAGATGTCCAGGCAAAGAAAGGGAGCTTGATGAAAATATTGGAGATATTAAGGAAGACAGACAGGTGTATATTAATGAGGAGTGCATCCTAGCCCTACGAGTCCCAATAGCAGAGCAATCAAGTAAGGCGGAACAGAGCAGTAGAAGCGATTTAGGCTAAGATAGTAAAGAAAAGGGAACAAACCTCTCCATAATAGCCCTCTGGAGCAAGATGATGTGCCTCAGACAAAAGATGAAGAAAGGAGAGGGAACATAGAAGGGTGGTGAGAAAAAGACAAAAACAGGGAACTAGAGAGTAAAAATCAGTACAAGTAACTGCTACCCAAGTAGGCAAAATAGATTCCAAAGACTGAGAATCTAGAAACGGAAAGGAAGAATGCTGAAAGTCATGACAAAAAATCAAGAATGCAAGGGGACAAGGCATGTAAATGTGAGTGTGTTGTTGTTCAAGAAAGGAATCAGCACGAATTCTAATATTAGACAAAGTAATTCCAAGAATGGGTTTCACTCAGTAAATAATAATAAGAATCAAAAGACACAAGCTAAAGAAAGGCACATACCTGAGAAATCATATCCAGAAAGGGATTGAAAAGTTGAGAATTTTTCCAACTGGAATGGCAGTACCCAAAGCAAGCATAGGTGGATGAACAGTTGGTTAAATTCATTCATCGTCCTCCTGTTCATTCACAAACTAAGGATGCACGAAGGAACCCACAGCATGCTGTACAATGAATGTAACATCGTACACAGCCAATGAGCCTCCAGAAGCCATAGCAGAAATAGTTTTTGTGTTTATAACTCAGTAACTTTCATAGGAAAAATTAGAAGTAAACATCACTTGAGAATTCATTTATGTTAAATGTTTTTAAAATAAAAGCATTGACAAAATGAAAACATAAGTTTCATTGCTGACCACAAATGTCAGTAAATTGAACATAAAGTTGAAAAAATTAACACATCTGTTTAAGGTAATGCCAAGAAAAAAAGAATGAAGTTATTTCAAGTGCAAGAGCTTAAGGAGGTTGTGTTGCCCTCCTATTGGTGGAGGGCTATTGTCGCATAATGATATCCTCATGCACCAACATAGTTCATGTTAAACACAAATTTTAGGTGGGACTTAGCTCAAACCTAGTGGCATGCAAATCTCAAAGGCAGATGTGCAAGGGACATAGCTATTCTTTGTGTACAGGTAAGATATTGTCTTGTAAAATACTTTTCTTCTACCTTAGAGTTTCAAATTTCATTTGCGTAACCTATAGATCCCTTTTAAATGAATATCAAAAGTTTTTCAGTGAAACTTTATACTTTATCTGTTATTTCTTCTTCTCTAACATTTTACAATTCAATCCATTTGACCAACCTTGTGGCAACTACAAAAAATATGAAGTAAATTGATATTAGTCTTTTTCTGGAATGACTGCAGATCATAACAAACAGTTACAATTATTTATCTTAAAATATTCAGTCCTCTCTCTTTTTTCACAACTATTTCCATTTAATTTTCTTGTTTTATTGCTCTTTGAACTGTGTGTAAGTACTAATCCTGCATAAAAAGCAAAATTGCACAGCAGCCATGCAGTTCAAGTTACATAAATGACTTATATAATTGTTTTTGTAAATTAACTACTATTACTGAAATTACAGAGTAAAAGTAATGTGTTTTTCATCAGGTGGTCTGCACAAATGTATAAAATTACTGTGCTGTCAGCTAATGATAAGAAAACACAACATTTATTGCTTGAAAAGGATATGTGCATTTTCACAGATCATAATAATTTTTAAGTAGGTTTGCATTTGGTGTACACATTGTTTAAAAAGCTAGCACTAACATTGTTCAGAACAGTGTTAGTAGTGATCTCAGCATTATCCTGAATTTATTGCAATATTGGATAGAAATGCAGTATTGTATCTCCTTTCCTCAGCACAGTGCACATAAAAATAATAATAAGCTTCTTGTCAACTATAATATTTATAGCTTCATCCATAATTACACCACTGTACAGACTATCATTCACTTTTTTGTAATTTTTGTACTACAAAAGTTTCTGCAATCATGGCCTATATTTTTCTCCTGGTATGTGTATTAACTACCCTCAGAAAAGTAAAACAGTCATTTGCTTTTTGTAGTTTCATCATCGGAAATTTGTTGTCTGCTATTTTTTCCTCTTTCACAATTACATAAATATTGGCCAAAAATCATCTAACATTAACTTACTGTTTAAGCTTTGTTAAGGAAACTATTTATATGCTTCTGTATGGGTGCCAATGCAACAGTTTACTGGTGGTTTGCCTACTTAGTGTGTCATTTTAATGCACTCTTATGGTAAGTTTAACAACCATAAGTGAAGACATTTTTTCCCAAATGACTCATATGTTATTCTATACATGAAAATCACTAAACACATACAAGAAAGTCCTTGAACCAACACGCCATAAACTACAGCTTTACCTTTTGCTGACGTGCTACATCAGTGTCTAAACAGTTGCATCCCCATTTGCCTCTGTATTTGGAATTTTCTTTACACTTAGAACTCACAATTCTTCAGCTGTAATAAGAGTAGTACAACAAATAATTAAAATTAGTAGGATCTTGGGTTGTCATAGTACTTTGGGTATTCTTCAGGAAGCCTACATTTAAGATAAAATAACATAAAAATCAGAATAATATCAACTTATTTTGCAAAATTCATTTTTTGATAATTATAGCTATATCTTACAAGGTTTGAAACCATTAGGGAATGAATAAGAAGAAAACTAAAAAGTCTATTCTCATAATATAGTATTAACACACTTTTTATTTCTATGATGATGATATGATACACGTTAACTTTTAATAATTTAGCTGTGTAATACTATAACTAAGTTTTCGGTATTTCTTACATGAAATAAAAGACTTCCCCTATAATAATCAAGTATTCTGGAGTAATCAACGTTAACCATATAGTCCTAAAATAACTTCAATAAAAATCAAAGTTAAATAAAACAATTTATTCTGTAATATAAAAGTTTTAATTATTATAGCTTTATCCTACAAATTTTGAAACACAATAGTGAATAAATAATAATAAAACACAGTCTAATCAGATAATATTAGTTTTACTGTAGTGACAACACTAAGTTTTCAATTGACAGATGTAGCCTTATGAAAGATGTACGTCATCTCTACTGTCTAATTCACCCATTGTTATCCAACTTGTATGGTTTTTGGAAATACAAATTTAGATGTTTTGGTTTTTTGGCTTTTTAAGTGGACATATGGAGCAGTGGAACTGTTTTAACATTGCATTACATAAAACCACTTGTAATTTGAACCAATAGGCCTTGTAACATCTGTGTTTTAGAAATGCAATGCTGTTTTTTTGCACTTGATTAAAATTTCCTCTGTATATAGCTCAGAACTTTATGTGAATGCAATCTCTGAATACATTAATGATACTGATAACAGAATGGTCAATAAATTAGTCACATTTGCTAATAACCTTAAAATTATGGGTAGAGTTGGATGGTGGTGTTTTGAATCATTTGGCAAAGCGGGCATATCAGTGGCATTTAATCAATCTAAATATAAGGTTATTGATATGGGCTCTCTTAATTTAAACTATAAGTACCATCTTAATGAAAATCAGTCAATAGTTATGAAAGAAAAGTATCTTGCAGTTTTGGTCAGTCAGTCTCTGAAGCCTTCCAGGCAGTGTGTTATTGCCAGTGGGAAACAAACAGGATTTGGGGTTGTATCTACAGGAATAATGAATATATGACAAATGAAGTTATTGTGTCATTGCATATCTCTGGTTAGGTCTTATTTCAAGTATTGTGTTCAGTGTTGGGCTTCCCACTTTTAAGTTTAAGAAGGACACTGAGTTGTTAGGAATGGCATAAAAAAAAGGGGGACTGCTAGGGAATTTCCTGGTCAAACAAAGGCAAGTTAAGGTCCTTAGAATTATTTTTCATTGAGAAAGAAAGGGTTGTAGGGGATCTGATCGAAGTGTTCAAAATTGTATAAGGTGCACAAAAAATTGACACGTAATCTTTTTCCATATTAAATGGAATAGTGTTAATACTAGGGAAAATAGATTTATGATTTGGTACAGTAAAATTAGTCAGCAAATAACTTTAATATGATAATCTTATTTTTCAAACAGGGTGGTTAGCCTTTGGAATGAATTGTCTGATGAATACTTGAGGAGTTGAGGCTAGATGCAGATAGTTGTTTGATAAAACTAACAGGGCTACCACAATGAGTCAAGGAGCCCCTTATTATCTTTCAAATGTTATATGTTATGTTCCATGGTAAACATTCCAGTTCTACTACATATTCAATTATGAAAATGTAAAAAAAAAAAATAACACAACACAAACTTCGACTATTGTTATGCTACATTGTGAAGACCCGTAAAAGCACATTATTGTTAGCATACAAAAAATATGCATCAAATACTCATTTGGAACCTCACAGTCTCATGTTTCAATATTCATGCCTAGTTTGAATTACAAATGTTGATAGCCAATAGCAGTAATACAAATGAAACTTGCAAGAGACACTGAACATACCTTTTTTTTTTATTTATGCCCAGCTTTAATAGCACAATCGATCTTTAACTTAAGACTTAAGTTGTACCATACTGAAGTTAAGGATATATTTATACTAATAATAGAGATAAAAGATGCTTATTAAAGATATTAAAGTGCAGGACCTGTGTGACTTTTATATCAAACAGGCCTAATTTACAACCAGCGTTACAAGTTGTGCAAGGTATGCCCACAACTTTAGTACTAATAGTTTACACTAAAAAGTCTAATCAGTAATAATAATAATAATCTAATATTTATTTTTAATTTCGATTATACACTTCTACTTTTATCCTTAATTCTTGTGCAGGACTAGTGTTATTAATAGTACTTAAGTTAAACAACTTACTGACTTTAGTAATACTAATAGTAGTATCACTTGTACTTTCTTATTTAAATAATAGTTTTACTATTTAGGATATTCATAATTTTTTCGTATTAATAATAATAACACGACTAATTTCTAGTTTGATATCAGTAACGTTAGGCCTAATATAATCAAAAAAAAGTAGCCGCATCTTACGTATGATGGTATCATGTATGTACAAAAAGCATGTTACTTCTTTCAGTTATCACAAGAAAATTTGGATGAAATAGCAATGGTAAGCACAGCTTAAAAGTAACTACAACCTGTGTAACTTACGCCTTCAATTTATACTTGTCTATGTCTTGGAACTATATAGATTTCTTAATTTTACTTTTAGCAAAAGTTGCAGCTTCTTGTACACGGGTACAGCACTATTCTAACAGCTGTCACAGACCACATTACAACAACCTCGCGAAAAATATATACATACTATATATATATATATATTACTAAATCTTTATTTATTTATTTTTTTGACATCAGTAATGTTAGATATAGTTTCTCGTAATAATGTTATTTGAACTTAACTGAAAATTGCTAGATAAATATGTTACACTTATCATAAGTTTAATTCAGGAAGAACATAAAACACAGAACTGAGGAGGTGTGAAATGTAGGCATATGATTATAATATGTCTTCTTAACATCGTAGGAGGCATAGGAGTTTTTAAAAATATTCCTTTTAATCTGTTACTATGCGGTTTTGGCATAAAAACGTGGTTCAGAACCTGTTGAAATTGTTTAGATCTAGTTACTTTCGTGTCTTTATTCACTATAGCAGATGATTTCAACTCCGCCCGAGGAGAAGTTGCATTAATATATCACACATCCATATTAAAAACATCAACGACTGCAACATCCTTTGTTGGCCAAGAGGATGCTTTTTGCATATTACAGCTGACGAAGGTTGTGGGAAAATTATTAATTATTATTCACTGATTCACTATATTTAATTACCTAAGTGTATTTCAAATATACATATTTTTTCGTGCCTTTAATAAAATTTATTTTCACTTTCCATCAGATATATTCAGTCTGTTTGTTTCTCACACAGGTTAACATTCAGCCAAGTTTTCGAATTCAGATTACTTTGCAGATTTCCTGTTCAATCATCTGCCTAATAACTTCTTAGGTGGACCTGTCTGTACTTGTGAGGAAATCAATTTATCTGAAAATACCAAAGTGGATAGAAAGAAGAAATTCTGGTGCTGTGATAACAATATTTATTGAAAGGTTTTCTGTTTTGTTAACGTGCCTAATGGCCCTTGCTTGATCTCTTGAGTACACAAGTTTCTCAATGTCTGAGGGACCCAGATCAGTGGATTGAACTTTGCCCCAGAGAACCAGTATTGGCACAAGTGAAATAAGGGTCACTAAGGGTCCTTGACATAGCTTGCCACCTGATGGGTCTGAGACCACTTGTGAAATGTCCTGATCTTGGACGCTGTTTGACAGTTGAAACTACAACAATGATAAACCACAAAGTAGAATATTTCACTGGTAGATGGATGCCAAGATTAACACTTCTGGAGTTCTGAAAAGAGCATCTGAAGGATCCTGTTCTATCGTGGGCACTTTGCTGTGCAGCAAGGTGAAGCACTGTCTTCATTATTAGAGGATCATAGCAGGAATGCAGATAATCTGTGGCACATGTATGACCAGTTACAAGGTCAGAACGGTGTGCTTACAATCACCATAAACCATAAAGTCATGATTCTCCAACTATGCTGCAATTAATGGCCCCTAGAGACCTTGTATAACACAAAAAAGAGGCACCAGCATCTGATGGCAGACCTTTTGTTCACATTAAAGTCTGAATTTTCTGTATGGTGTATGCCACCTTCAATATTGAATGATCCAGATAAGATTACTTTGAAATTCGTAATCAAGACGGGGTGATTAGTGTTAGTGTGTGCGGATTGTGGAGTCTAGTGGATTTAATAGTTTTTACCATATGTTCAGGCTTGCAGGTGTAATTGGCGTATAGTTTTGCCATTGTTAGTTGTGTTACAGCCATTACATGTGCATTTATATACGATCCTGGAACGCACAGGGGTAGGTAATAGGTCTTTAGATTGGAATTGATTTTGTATTTTGAAGAGTGATATAAATATCATTTGTAGTTAAACTTGTCGATAAAATGTTTTAATTTTTCTTAAAATTTGTGACTTCAGTTTGAAACTTTGCTTACCTTAGAAAGGAACGATCAGTCTTAATGTGTATTTATCAACAGTGTATGGTTTCTTTGAGATCTCAAATTTGTGCGAAAGGAAATTGCGTGTTAGGGTTTGAGTAAAATGCAACGAAGTAGCCGTTGTTTATTAAAATGTTCTGAAAGGTGGTAATGTCGGAATGAAGAGAAAGGTAGTTAGAACAGATGTTCTGTGCTCTATTGAGAAGACTGGGTATAAGGTTACATTTAAAGGAATTCGGAATAAACTGTCGAATAGAGTAAGTAGACCTGTATATGTTTATTTACGATAAACAAATGTTGTGAAATGGTTATATAATCTGCTAATTTGGATATCAAGAAAATGCAATTTACTGGGGTTTTTTTTTCAGTTTCACAAGTGAAATTAATGTTAGGGTGTTTCGAATTTAAATAATCTAAAAATTGCTTGATGTGAGTAGAGCTTCGAAATAATAAAAACGTATAGTCAACATATCTTCTATATAAAGCTGGTTCGTATTCAGCAGGACATGTGTATAACCAAGAATGCTCATAATGACAAAGAAAGATATCATTGAGAGTCGGCCCTGAAGGTGATCCCATTGCTACTCCATCTGTTTCGTCATATAGTTGACCGTTGAAGACAAAGTTTGACCTTGATCTTATTGACAAGTTACCATCTCCCTTATTCATCTCGGGAAACTTTAATAGACACAATCACCTCTGGAGTGGTGCTGATATTGATGAGAGGGGTCGTTCTGTGAAACATATGCTTTCAGATCATAATCTTTCTCTCTTCAATATTGGTTCATTTACATATTTTCATGCACCCAGTCAGTCTTATACTGCTATTGATCTATCTATCTGTTCATCTTCGCTTTTTCTCATTTTTCTTGGAGGGTTGACATTGACCCAGGGGGCAGTGATCATTTTCCCATAGTTTCGAAGGTGATTGGTCACAGTCGCTGCCACCCGACCTGTGTGCCATAGTGGAAGATCAAGCAGGCTGACTGGCTCTCCTTCAACACTCTCTTGGAACTAGATCCTGCAGTTGTTAGCCTTCCATCTATTAATGACTGCATAGACGCAGTAACTGATTGTATTATTCAAACAGCTGTTCGTTCAATCCCCCAAACCTCGACACGTTTTCCATGGTATCCCCGTCCATGGTTGTCTCCTGCCTGCCAGCAGACATGGAAGACTCAAAAACTGACCTGGGATATCTTTTGTAGATATCCCACATTTTCCAACAGCAATGCTTTACAGCAAGCTTGTGTCTGTGCCTGGATGGTCAGGCATTGAACCTAGAAGGAATCTTGGATTAAGTTCACTATCAGTATCTTTTCTACCACCAGTTCTAAAGTCATCTGTGACAAAATTCGGAAGATCAACGTATGCTTCCCATCTAGTTATTCAATGGCCAGGAAATTGGTGATTTATAGAGTATTGCTGATACTCTTGGGGAGTGCTTTTCCCACCTTTCCAGCACATCTGTCTCTTTTCCTGCCTTCTTGGCCATTAAGTCTCGGTCTGAGAGATCACTCCTTTCCTTTCAAACAGATTGTGTCTATGATTAAAATCTCCCTATTACACTGATAGAACTTAATCTTGCTCTTCATCAGTCTGGCAGTTGGGACTGATGATGTTCACTAAGAGATACTGTGTCATCTCTCTCCTGCTTTTCTTCTAGTTATTTTAAGCCAGATTTGGCAGGAGGGTGCATTTCCTGATGCTTGACATAATGCTATTGCTCTCCTTTTTTCAAAACCTAGGAAGGATTCCAAGATTCCTTCTAATTATTGTTGAATTGCTTTGGCTAGCTGTCTCTGTAAGGTCTTGAAGAGGATGGTTAATGCACGTGTTATTTGGTTCCTTGATGAACAACCTCCTCTCTCTTACCCAATGGGATTTTCATCGACAGTGCCTCACAATGGACCACCTGATTCGTCTCGAAACCTTGAGAGGGCAAAAGAGGGCACCTCATTTCTATATTCTTGGATCTTCAGAAGGCTTGTGACACAACATGGAGGTTTGGAATTTTGTGGAATCTCTACTCCTATGGGTTGCATGGCCATGTTCCAATTTTTATTTGTAAACTTTTACTTGACAGGAGATTCCATGTTTGTGTGGGTTCGACTCTGTTTCCAACTTTCCCACAGAAACTTGGTGTCTCTCATGGTTGTGTCTTGAGTGTCACCCTTTTCAGTATAAAGATCAATGCTATCACCAAACAACTTCCTCCTACTGTTGCAAAGAGCCTTTATGTTGACGACTTCCACACTTCTTGTCAGTTGTCAAACATGTGATTTATTGAGTGGCAGCTTCAGACTACTCTCATTCGCTTGTTGGGATAGACAGTTTCAACAGCTCTTACTCTAAACCTTTTTTTTTCATTTTTGCTGTCATTGGGGTTTACACCCTGATCCTGAGCTCTGTCTCAGCATTGTTATTCTTCACATGGTTCCTTTGACCTCAAGTTTACTTTCATTTCTCACATTAAGCAGCTTTGTGTCAAGTATACAAGGACACTGTACATCATCCATGTCCTTTATTTTACCTCTTGGGGAGTGGATAGATGTTCCATGCTCAAGATGTATCAAACCCTCATATGATTCAAGCTGAACTATGAGTCTCTGCTCTCTGGTTATACCAGGCTCTCTGCTTTGAAGATGTTGAACCCTGTGCAAAATCGTGGACTCTGCACAGGAGCTTTCTGCACTTCACTGGTGCAGAGTCTGTACACTGAGTCTCATGAACCTCATTTTCACTTCTGACATTGGCAACTTTCTTGGCAATATGCTACCAAGCTTTGATTCTTAACACAGCAAACCACCTGGGGTTGTGTCTGTCTTCCTCAGTGGCATGTACTCTTTTAGAATAGATGTTCTGCCATTCCTCCTTTTGGACTTTGTATACAGGCAGAGCTGGCTAAATTGGAATAAGGTCTATCATTGAATAATGTTGCTGAGTCCAATGACAAACCTATTCCACCATGGCTCATTACCATCCCTACCTGTGACTTTTCTTTGGATTACCTGAGGAAGGCAGATACTCCCAATTGGAAGTACAATCTTCTAATTGCTGAACATATTTCAAACCATTCATCTGTTCCCGTTTTTATTGATGGTTCAAAATCAGGTGACTTTGTGGGCTCTGCCATGGTTTGTTGGTTGCTCATAGGACCCCTCTACAGATTTTGTGTTCAGTGCCAAAATGTATGCCATTTT